CAGGCACGGGGTCACCCCCCCACCACCGGGGGTGTCAATGCCTGTGGGTCTGGGGTGCATCCTGCCCCCCCAGGAACCCATCCCATATATTCAGTGTTGGTTTTCACCCCTATTTTGATGGGAGAAAAGTGCTGGGGGCTCAACATCTATAGGATCTCGTTGATGTCTGTGGGTCTGGGGTGCATCCTGCCCCCCCAAGAACCCACCCCATAGAGTTGCTGGTAGTTTTTCACCCCTAATTTGATGGGGAAAAAGCGCCGGGGACTCAATGCCTGTGGGATCTCCTTGATGCCCGTGGGTCTGGGGTGCATCCTGCCCCCCCCAGGAATCCATCCCATAGATTCAGTGATGGTTTTCACCCCTGTTTTGATGGGAGAAAAGAGCGGGGGGGCTCAATGGCTGTGGGATCTCCTTGATGCCCGTGGGTCTGGGGTGCATCCCACCCCCCAAGAACCCACCCCATATATTCAGTGATGCTTTTCACCCCTATTTTGATGGGAGAAAAGCACTGGGGGTTCAATGTCTGCAGGATCTCCTTGATGCCCATGGGTCTGGGGTGCATCCTGCCCCCCCCCGCACCCACCCCATAGATTCAGTGATGGTTTTCACCCCTATTTTGATGGGAGAAAAGCACTGGGGGTTCAATGTCCAGGAGAAAAGCACTGGGGACTCAATGTCTGTAGGATCTCCTTGATGCCCATGGGTCTGGGGTGCATCCTGCCCCCCCAGCACCCACCCCATAGATTCAGTGATGGTTTTCACCCGTATTTCAACAGGAGAAAAGCTCTGGGGGCTCAATGTCGAGGAGAAAAGCACTGGGGACTCAATGTCTGTAGGATCTCGTTGATGTCCGTGGGTCTGGGGGTGCATCCTGCCCCCCCAGCACCCACCCCATAGATTGAGTGATGGTTTTCACCCCTATTTTGATGGGAGAAAAGAGCTGGGGGCTCAATGTCTGTAGGATCTCGTTGATGTACGTGGAGACAAGCACTGGGGACTCAATGTCCAGGAGAAAAGCACTGGGGGCTCAATATCTGTAGGATCTTGTTGATGTCCGTGGGTCTGGGGTGCATCCCGCCCCCCAAGAACCCACCCCATAGAGTTGCTGGTAGTTTTACACCCCTATTTTAATGGGAGAAAAGCACTGGGGGTTCAATGTCTGCAGGATCTTGTTGATGTCCGTGGGTCTGGGGTGCATCCTGCCCCCCCCAGCACCCACCCCATAGACTGAGTGATGGTTTTCACCCCTATTTTGATGGAAGAAAAGCACTGGGGGTTCAATGTCTGTAGGATCTCGTTGATGTACGTGGAGACAAGCACTGGGGACTCAATGTCTGTAGGATCTCATTGATGCCTGTGGGTCTGGGGTGCATCTCAGCCCCCAAGAACCCACCCCATAGATTCAGTGATGGTTTTCACCCCTATTTCAATGGGAGAAAAGCACTGGGGACTCAATATCTGTAGGATCTTGTTGATGTCCGTGGGTCTGGGGTGCATCCTGCCCCCCAGGAACCCACCCCATAGAGTTGCTGGTAGTTTTACAACCCTATTTTGATGGGGGAAGAACACCGGGGACTCAATGTCTGTAGGATCTCCTTGATGCCCGTGGGTCTGGGGTGCATCCCGCCCCCCAAGAACCCACCCCATAGAGTTGCTGGTAGTTTTTCACCCCTATTTTGATGGGAGAAAAGCGCTGGGGGTTCAATGTCTGTAGGATCTTGTTGATGTCCGTGGGTCTGGGGTGCATCCTGCCCCCCCAGCACCCACCCCATAGACTGAGGGATGCTTTTCACCCCTACTTTGATGGGGGAAAAGCACTGGGGGGCTCAGTGCCAGTGGGATCTCCTTGATGAAGCCCAGGGGACTCGGCTGGCGCTGCTCGCCAGCCCCCCAGATGATTGCTTACTGGTTAGACACTGGGTCCTACTGGGGGGGAGAGGGGGGGAAGAGCATCCCCAAGGAGACCCCGCTGGGCCATGGGGACCCTGTGGCTGCGGCACGTGGGCGGTGGTGGGGGCAGCCACCAAAATATTTGCTCTGCTTGTTCAGCTTGGAGGAGATGCTGCCATCCCTGGGGCTCGAGGAGGGTTTGGGGGGGGGACACA